AGCTTAGAGGGAACATTGGTCTCCAGGCCTCACATGGAGATTAACCCAAAGGACATCCCCCCCCTTTTCAGTCACGGGATTTGGGGTGGGGATCTCCCTCTCCTGTCATAAGGAGCACTAGTGAGTTTCCATGCTCCGTTCTGGTATTTGGTACAAGCTGGTCACATTCGTCACCACAATCTAACTTCTGATCAGGTGCTGCCTGATCAAAATTGCTTTGAGGACCAGATCCAACTGTGGGCCTCCCCGTACCCCAACATCATACATCTGCCTCTCGTTTGCTGCAGGTATTATGTTTTCCAACGGTGAAACCTGGTGGCAGCAAAGACATTTCGGGCGAGCGATTCTACAGAAGCTGGTGATCGAGCAGAAAGATCTGGAGCATCAGATAGGAGAGGAAGGCCGGCAGCTGGTGGAGGCCTTTGCAAATGAAAAAGGTATGTCAGAGTTTTAAGAGTTGTGTGCCAAGTGTTGTGCAGCAGCCTGTTGCTACTCTGCTGGGTGTTACTAGCCTCCAGATGGTAGAAACACCAATCAAGAACTGTGTAAATGAACACACCAACTGAACACCAACATCTCCTCTATAATGAAATAATGCACAAAAATAACCAGGACTATTTTGGTGCAGGAACGCACAGGAACGGATAATAACAACATGTATTTGTAACAATTTGTTACGAATACATGTTGTTATTTTTTTTGTGCATTCTTTCATTATAGAGGAGAAGTTGGTGTTCAATTGGTGTTTTTGATTGGTGTTTCTGCTTTACTGTGTATTTCTGCTTTGTAATTTTGCAGCCTTCAGGTGGTGGCTAGACATCTCCCGGGATTACAACTGAGCTCATGAACACATGAACCTATGAAGCTGCCTTATACGGAATCAGACCCTTGGCCCATCAAAGTCAGTATCGTCTACTCAGACTGGCAGCTGCTCTCCAGGGTCTCAGGCTGAGGTCTTTCACATCAGGCCTGTTATGCTAATGAGTTCCTGCTGGGCTTTTTCTACAAAAAAAGCCCTGAAAATAACAACATGTATTCATAACAACATGTATTCGTAACAATGCGTTGTTGTTTTTTTTGTGCATTCTTTCATTATAGAGGTGTCGGGAATTGACCCTGGCACCTTCTCCATGCCAAGCAGATGCTCTGCCACTGAGCCACAGCCCCTCTCCATGTCCCTCCAGGGTCTCAGGCTGAGGTCTTTCACATCAGCTATGGCCAGATCCTTTTAACTGGAGATGTCGGGGATTGAACCTGGGACCTTCTCCATGCCAAGCAGATGCTCTGCCACTGAGCCACAGCCCCTCTCCATGTCCCTCCAGGGTCTCAGGCTGAGGTCTTTCACATCCGCAGAGATCAGTTCCCCTGGAGAAAATGGCTGCTTTGGATGGTGGACTCTATGGCATTGTACCTAGGGTTGCCAGTCCCCAGGTGGTGGCTGGAGATCTCCCACTATTACCATTGATCTCCAGATTACAGAGATCAGTGTCCCTGAAGGAAATGGCTGCTCTGGAAGGTGGTGTGATACCCACTGAAGTCCCTCCCTTCCTCCAACCCCGCCCTCCCCAGCGACCCCACCCCCCAAATCTCCAGGGATTTCCCAACCCAGAGTTGACAAACCTAGGCATTACTCAAAGGCAACCGGAGTTAGTTTTCCTGGTGCTACTCCTAAGATCTCTATGGCTTCATTTGAGCCCATGATGGGAACTGAAAAATATCCTTGGTTTGCAGGGCAGCTCCAACCTACACCAGAAGAAGAAGAGATTGGATTTATACCCCACCCTTCACAGAGTCTCAGAGTGGCTTACAAGCTC